TCGGGGCCACCATTTCTTTCTTTCTTTAAAAAATATTTTTATTTGTTTCAGAGAGGAAGGGAGAGAGAGGGAGGGAGGGAGAGATAGAAACATCAACGATGAGAGAGAATCATCAACCGGCTGCCTCCTGCACGCCCCCCACTGGGGATGGAGCCCGCAACCCAGGCGTGTGCCCTTGACCGGAATTGAACCCGGGACCCTTCTGTCTGCAGGCTGATGCTCTATCCACTGAGCAACCCGGCCAGGGCGGTGCCACCATTTCTTCAGTCGCAGAGAGGAGGTGAACCCCTCTGACCAGCCTGCCCCACAGGGTCCTGGGATGATCCCAGGGAACACGATGTCCTAAGCCCCAGCACCCAGGCTCGTGACTCACTCGCACAGCGACTCTGACTTTTTCTCAATGTCTCTCCCCACGTGACCCCTGTCCAAGTTCACGTCCTCCCACAAGACACACTGGAAGGAAGACGCTCGATGTCACATCATCCCGGATCTCTGCTTTCAGAGCTGAGCAAAGGTGCCTGAGGCATGACAAGGGTCAAGGGGTGTAAAGGTCTGTGCGGCTCCAGAGGAGGCGAGAACAGATGCCTCAGGAGCACAGGGGGAGCCTGGCCGGTGTGGCTCAGTGGATAGAGATCCGGCCCAAGGACTGAAGGCTCCCGGGTTCAATTCCAGTCAAGGGCGCGTACCTCGGTTGCAGGTTCCCGGACCTGGTGGGAGTGCGTGCGGGAGGCAACCCATCGATGTGTCTCTCACATCGATATTTCCCTCTGTCTTTCACTTTCCCTTCCACTCTCTCTAAAAAAAGTCAATGGGAAAAATATCCTCAGGTGAGGATTAAAAAAACAGACACATAAAAGCCAGTGACCTGTTAGAGAAGGTTCTCTCGCCACTCTTCTTCCCCAGGATGCCCCTAGGAGGCGCTGGGGAACGTGTGGAGAAAGTGGTGGGTTCCTGAGAAGAAACACTGCCTTTCTCCCACACCCAGGCCGGGCCCTACAGAGATTTGGGGTCATTTCAGAGCAGAGGAAACATGTCTCATTAGCCAGGAGGAAGCCCAGCACAGGCCAGGTGCCGAGGAATAGAAATGACGGCATAGGGTGTTGGGGAGATAAGATCTCAAAGTGTTCTCCCAGCGTCTCCTTGGCCACCAGTAGGTGTGGGAGAGCAGCCAGATTTCCTGAGGGCCAAGGGGAAAAGGCCTTCTTAGATGAAGGCAAGGAGGCCAACCACAGCTGCAATGTCCTTGACTCAATGAGGACCTCCCAGGAGGAGGGTATCTCAGCAGGTGCTCGGGGAGGCAAGTGATGAATGTACCTGGGTTGTGGGCACATCCCCAGTAGGGGGTGTGCAGGAGGCAGCTGATCGATGTTTCTCTCTCATCGATGTTTCTAAATCTCTGTCCCTCTCCCTTCCTCTCTGTGAAAAATCAATAAAATATATTTAAAAAAAAATAGATTCAATGCAATCCCCATTAAAATACCAATGGCATATTTCACAGACCTAGGACAAACTCTCCAAAAATTCATATGGAATAAAAAAAGACCCCGATTAGCTACAGCAATCCTGAGAAAGAAGAACAAAGTTGGAGGGATCACAATACCAGATATCAAGCTGTATTACAAAGTCATTGTTCTCAAAACTGCCTGGTACTGGCACAAGAACAGACACATAGACCAAATGAACAGACCAGAGAACCCAGAAATCGACCCAAGCCATTACGCTCAATTAATATTTGACAAAGGAGGCAAGAGCATACAATGGAGTCAAGACAGTATCTTCAATAAATGGTGTTGGGAAAATTGGACAGATACATGCAAAAAAAGAAAAAGAAACTAGACCACCAACTTACACCATACACAGAAACAAACTCAAAATAGATAAAGGACTTAAATGTAAGACGGGAAACCGTAAACATCTTAGAATCATCCAGAGGCAGCAAAATAGCAGACGTGTGTGTGGCAATATCTTTACAGACACAGCTCCCTAGGGCAGTGATGGCGAACCTATGACACGCGTGTCACCTCTGAAGTCATCTTTTTGGTTGATTTTTCTTTGTTAAATGGCATTTAAATATATAAAATAAATATCAAAAACATAAGTCTTGGTTTTACTATGGTTGCAAATATCAAAAAATTTCTGTATGTGACACGGCACCAGAGTGAAGTTAGGGTTTTTCAAAATGCTGACACGCCGAGCTCAAAAGGTTCGCCGTCACTGGCCTAGGGCCATGGAGACCAAGGAGGAAGTGACAAATGGGACTCCATCAAAATAAAAGGCTTCTGCTCAGCAAAAGAAACCAACGAAACAAGAGAGCCGGCTGCATGGGAGAACGTATTTGCCAACATTACCTATAGTAATAAAAGCGTGATATGCTAATTAGACCAGACAGCCCAACGACCATCCGACGTCCTTCCGGACATCCTTCCGAAGCCGGGGCTGCCGGGGCCCCAAGCCCCTCGCACGAATTTCGTGCGTCCGGGCCTCTAGTCTAGTATCTGATAAGGGTTTAATCTCAAAAAAAAAAAGAAAGAGAAGAAGGCAGGTTGGGAGGTGACGGGGGCGTCAGGGGGCCCAACACCTGCCCAGGCCGTGGGCGCAGCTCGCTCACCATGAGGACGGGGCCGTCGTCCGCGAGGAAGGCCTCCAAGGAGAAGCAGCACCTGGGCATGCTGCGCGCGGCCAGGGGCTCCGCGTCCCGGCAGTTCCACACCTTGACGGTCTCCTCCTTGTCCACAGTGAACGCCAGCGACCGCTGGGGCAGGGTGGCCAGGTACTTGATGTTGGCCTGCTGGGCGGGGCTGGACCAGATCAGAGAGCCCTGGGAGGGGAGCGCGGGCAGTTCAGGGGGCGCTCCCCCCGGGGGCACAGGTCCTGCTCGGGGTCCTGTTCTGGGGGAGCTCCCCCGGGGCCATGAGTTCTGCCCAGGGTCCTGTTCTGGGGGCGCTCCCCCGGGGCCATGGGTCCTGCCCAGGGTCCTGCCCCTGCTTATTTGAAGCTTCCCCCAAACCAGGTGTCTTTTTTCCCAGGAACAGAATTAAGAAAGTTCTGCTGCATCTCAGCTGCGTGAGGGTCGTGAACAGAAGGAGTCGTGAAGCCCTGGCCGGTGTGGCCCAGTGGGTAGAGCATCGGCCTGCGGACCGAAAGGCTGGGCTGGATCCGGTCAAGGGCACACGCCTCGGTGCAGGCTCCTCCCCGGCCCGGGCCCCGGTCAGGGCTCGTGCAGGAAGCAACCCATCAATGTCTCTCTCACATGGATGTTTCTCTCTCCCTCCCTTCCTCTCCCTTCCACTCTTTCTAAAAAAATAAAAATAAAAATAAATCAACGGAAAAAACATCCTCAGGGGAGGGTGGGAATTTAAAAAGTGAATTCTCTGCGTGCTATCGTCTAAGTCAGTGATGGCGAAGAACCTGTGACACGCGTGTCAGAGGTGACACGTGAACTCATTTTTTTGGTTGATTTTTCTTTGTTAAATGGCATTTAAATATATAAAATAAATATCAAAAATATAAGTCTTTGTTTTACTATGGTTGCAAATATCAAAAAATTTCTCTAGGTGACACGGCACCAGAGTTAAGTTAGGGTTTTTCAAAATGCTGACAGGCCGAGCTCAAAAGGTTCGTCGTCACTGGTCTAAGTGAAGGGTGGCAAGTTACGGTTAGAAGACCTGGTTGGAAACTTCCTGTTGCCAATCGGGGGCCCGCCCTCCCCGCTCCAGGGTGGCCACAGGGGCGCGGCCGTGCGCTCCTCGCAGACTCACCTCCTGCACGTCCCAGGCGTAGAGCATGCGCAGTGAAGACACCGTGCAAACGATGGACTTCTGTCCGCTCATGGACGGGTCACTTCCTGAGAAATAGGCCAAAGGCCCCAAGACTCCTGGAAGGCAACGCAGGCAACCCTCGGCCCCCGGGCACTCCGAATGCCCCGCTGGGCGAGGAGAATTCTGGGACAGTTATGTTAAGCTCCCTGCGGCCTTCATGGAGAAGAGGATGGAACCTGGGCTCCAGCGTCATTCAAACCTGGCCCCTGGGGAGACGCTCACCGATTTGTTTTTCCTCGTTGACCTCAGTTTCCATAGATATAAAACGGGGATTAAAAAGGATTCCACCAGGCGCTCGCCGGTGTGGCTCAGTGGGTAGAGCATCAGCCTGCGGACTGAAGGGTCCCGGGTTCGATTCCCGGTCAGGGCACATGCCCTGGTTGCAGGCTCGATCCCCAGTAGGGGGTGAGCAGGAGGCAGCTGATCCGTGATTCTCTCTCATCATTGATGTTTCTATCTCTCTTCCTCTCCCTTCCTCTCTGAAATCAATAAAAATAAGTAAGTAAATAGATGTTTCTTTTCCTTTAAGATGTGTGTCCTAGGAGGGAGGGGAAGCCTTCGGGAAAACGGAGTCATGGGCCTGGTTTTACAGTGTGCAAAGATCACTCTGGCTTCTCCAGGCGGCACAGGGGACAGGGCACAGGGCACAGGGGACAGGGCACAGGGCACAGGGCACAGGGGACAGGGGACAGGGGACAGGGCACAGGATAAGTAAGTAAATAGATGTTTCTTTTCCTTTAAGATGTGTGTCCTAGGAGGGAGGGGAAGCCTTCGGGAAAACGGAGTCATGGGCCTGGTTTTACAGTGTGCAAAGATCACTCTGGCTTCTCCAGGCGGCACAGGGCACAGGGCACAGGGCACAGGGGACAGGGCACAGGGCACAGGGCACAGGGGACAGGGCACACGGCCGGGAGCAGGGACAGTGCTCGTCATCACAGCAGCCCAGTCCCGTTCCGTCTTCATTCCCTTTCTCTTCACTGAATGAGAACACATGCGTGCACACACACGCACGCGTGCACACGCACACGCACACACACACACAGCACACGCACACGAGCACAGACATGCGACAGGGCACACGGCCGGGAGCAGGGACAGTGCTCGTCATCACAGCAGCCCAGTCCCGTTCCGTCTTCATTCCCTTTCTCTTCACTGAATGAGAACACACACACGCACACACACACACGCACACACACATTGACGCACACAGCGCACACACACACGCACACACATTGACGCACGCGCACACACGCACACACATTGACGCATGCGCACGCACACGAGCACAGACATGTGTGTGCACGCACACAGCCCAAAGCAGTGCGTTCCCTCCGCCGTGAACCGCGTTGCCCTCCGCACCCAGGCTGCCGGTGGCCTCCCGGTAGGAGAAGTCCTGCGGCCG